CTTGTTTTTTTACGTATTTTTTTTTTACTTATTTTTACATATTTGTAAGTTGTTTTTGACATGGGTCTTTGTTTTTAAAAATTTACCCTTGCCTCTAGTCTTTTTTCCTGTGGTTTCCTAGTCGTTTTGTAGTTACTGAAATTCCCTGGTTTTTCTTTCACTCCCCCTTTCCCTGTTCACACTTTGTGCCTCACTGTCCCTGAGTAAAAGTAGCAAGAATATTAACAGCAACATTTATTGGTACTTAGTGTGTGCCTGGCGCACTTATTATTTGTTTTTCTTTTTCTTCTTTTTAATTTAGCTTATACAACTTTATCATCAATAAGTGTTTGATTTTTAAAAAATTTCTCCCATCCCTGCTCTTCCCTCCCCTTTGGCAGCCATCAGCTTGTTCTCTGTAACTGTGCGTCTGTTTCTGTTTTGTTTATTCATTTGTTTCGTTTAGATTCCACGTGTAAGTGAAATCATGGCCATTCCCCCTCCTTCCTGGTCTCTTTTCATTCCTGCCCTCTAGTGTCTTCTTGTCATACTGCTCCCTCGCTCCACATGTACTAGTAAGTGAAATCATATGGTATTTGTCTCTGTCCGACTTTTTATCTTAGCATAATACCTGTTAGGTCCATCCGTATTGCAAATGGCAAGATTTCATTCTTTTTCTTGTTGAGTAATATGAGAGAGTGAGAGAGATCATCTTTATCCATTTATCTATTGATAGATACCTAGTTTACTTCCATATTTTGGCTATTACTGGTAATGCTACAATGAACATGAGGGTACATGTATCTTATAGAATTCGTGTTTTTGTTTTCTTCAGATAAATACCAAGAAGTGAAATTGCTGTGTCGTATGGCAGCTCTGTTTTTTATTTTTTGAGGACTCTCCGTACTGTTTTCCGTAGTGGCTGCACCCACGTACAATCCCCCACTGTGCATGGGGGTTCCCTTTTTCCACATCCTCAACAACACTGTCGTTTCTTGATTTATTGATGTTGACCTTCTGATAGGTGTAAGCTGGTGTCCCATTGTGGTTTTAATTTGCATTTCTCTGATGATAGTGATGTTGAGCATGTTTTCATATGTCTGTTGGCCATCTGTATGTACGCTTGGGATAAGTGTCTATTTAGGTCCTTTGCCCATTTTTTTGATTGGATTGTTTTGTTTACAGGAATATTTATTCTAAATCTGCACTGCAGACATATGTCCTCCCAAGAATACTTACCCTACTGATTTTATCTAAAAGTTAAACTTTATCCGA